GGCATTAGAAAAGTATGATTACTTTTATAAATTCTGGTCTTGGATATATATATATATATATATATATATATATATATATATATATATTATTGTGGCTATATATATATTTATAAAATAATAATCATCTAAAAATTTAATAAGTTAAATGATACATCTTAGAAAGGATCTCCAGGTTCGAAATGAAAAAGAAAATAATATCTGATTGCCTTGAAATTGTAGAATATGTATATTGATACTATGATGGTCATTGAACCAGATTTGTGAGTGCATTGGATTCTATTTGTGGTGTGAACCCTTGTGATACCGAATTCGAGTCGAAGGGGCATACGGGTACATGTAAGCTTCTGGTCCTCGGATTGTTTCTCTGTTTGTTCCACCAACCTCCATGGGAGTGTGGTTTATGTGCATTGTATGCTCTGGTGAAAATGATATATATACTAATATTTTTCTAAGATATGTGGATATGTCTGTTGATGTAATGTATGAATGTGATGTTAGTACTTGTACGATCAGGCAGCAACCCTGGTGTGCAAGGCATGAGGAAGCATCCCTCATGTTTGGTAGGTAGCAGACGTTCACAAACCCTATCCTGTTCCCTGGCCAGTCGAATAACATATGCATACATCACATACATGAGATATTACTATTATTGTTGAGTTATTGTTGTTGAGATATTACTGTGGAATATGGAGTATTGTTGATTGAATAAATTTTTATAATATGCCCATGCATTTTATTTGTTTTGAATTTATTATATACCTGTAAGTGAGCTTGGGGCAAAAAAGTCCTTGAGGACCCATTGTCTTACTGAGGTTTCTTTTTAGAAATCTCACCCCGTCTGGGGCACATTTTTAGGTTCAGATAGTTATATGGAGGACCCTAAAGGCAAGAGGCCGAAAATATTTAGTTGATAGTATGCTTGCATTGAGATTTACTTTGTTTTATGTATATGACTTATGCTGAGACTTGATGCAGTTACGTTTTAATCAGACTTGGTTATTTATATTTGTGTGAGCAGGGGGATTGTCCCTGCCACTTGAGATAGTATTTTATGTTGAGACTTGAGTTATGTAATAATGTATCAGTACATTGTCATGGCTACTTAATGTAGTACTATGACTTGGTATTTTTATATTATTTGAGGTTATACAGTACATGAGCTGGCATTACATACAGGTTTAGTAATAAAGTTTCTTTTTATCCATTGAGGTTTAATATTGAGATAATTGCACATGATATATTCATAATTGAATTAGTAAGCTTCGCAATGTGTTTTAATTAATTAAGCAGGGTTTAATTTATCATATATATGTGAATACACCGAGTGCACACGAGATGTTACATTTTATGGTATTAGAGCACTTTATAGGAATAAGCCTGTATGTAATGTTATAACCTCAAGTTTTCTTGTTTGTCTGTGTTGTCTCATGAGTTGTCTTTTGGGTTTGGCTGTGATAATGCATGTGTGACCACATTGTGTGGGCCTAATCAACTCATCCTCTGTGTGTTACATGTACAGAGTTATGGCTCCCAGAAGAACTCGGAAGGCATTAGAGGTTATTCACATATATCTACGTGTTGAATAATGTATCAGAATTTTGTCCAGTCTACGTGTTGTAGTGCTGTGACTAGATACACATATATCTATTGAGGTTATTCAGTTAGTTATTTATTGCAATTTACATACATAAAATATTTTGAAAAAAGATAAGTAATCAACTTGTTTAATTTAATATGTACATAATTGAAAAGAAAAAGTTAGCTTCTACATTTAATTAGCTGCGCTACTACCTGTAAATACCCTATTTTGTCCTATCCTTTTTATATAATATCTTTATTAAAAAAGAATATAAAAAAATACAAGTGTGTGCAGAAGCTACGAGGCATTGGGGTTTGCTCCCATCAGTATCAATATTGTGTTCCTAACTTCTGCAAGGAAAGACTTTCCATCGAAACATGGCACCGCCACTGCAGGATACATAGCCCACTTGGTTGAAGAAGGGCAGAGAACAAAAATGGAAAGTTGAGGCACAGAAGATATGCCTAGGAAAGGAAATTAGAGGAGACCTTTACTTGTTGGACTCTGATCGACCCAGGCATTCCTTTTGTCCAAGGGAACATGAAGGAGCATAGGATTCTTATCTCTTCTTTAAAAAGACCAGAAAGAAGCAAAAAAAGGGAGGAGACTTCTGGCATTATTTTTCTGATATAAAGAATAGCACACCTCTTGCAAAAAGAAGGGGAAAAAAAAACAGAACGCTGAAACAAAAGCAAAAGAACGAGGTTCTAGCTCTGTACAAAAAAGGAAAAAGAAAAAGATTAAAAATAAAAAAAAAGGGTCTCGGTCACCGGAAGCCACCGCGTTGCCGCTGCCAGTAGCCGCCATCACCGCAGGTCACCGACTATTACAAGCTCCACCTCGCATTTAGCATCATCACGCTACCGGACCACCGCGAGCTATCGCACCTTCAGCTCTCCATAGCACTGCATCGTTGAACGTTGAACGTGTAATGCAGTAGACCATTATCTCCACCGTGAGAACAATACCCATCACTCTAACACCCCTCTGCTTCACAATCGTAAGTCTCCTTGCACTTAGACACCAGAAACCCATTTCATTTTTATTATGTTTTAACTTTATTTGGTTATTATCAGATTGCTTTGTCCTTTTACGTTAAGTATTGTATAGCTGGTTATTAGTGAGGTCTAAGCCAAGAATATAGTAAACTATTATATTATTATACTTAACTTTATTTTATTTTTCTTCTTTAAAATATAAAAAGGAAATCATCAGTGGCTAGGTTTTTTTTCTTTTTCTTCTTCTTGTCTTGTTTCATTAATTAAATTAGATGTAGAAGATATTTTTGGCATGATGTTGAATAAATAAAGAATAAAAAATCAAAAAAGGAAGAAATGTCATGATAATCTACAACTTCAACTTTCTTTCTTTTTTGAATAGATTAGGTAGCCTTTCCTTGATATTAAAATAAATGAAAATAAAAAAAAATTCAAAAAATTAAAAAAAATAAAGAAAGAAAATGATACGATACACACCATGATAGCTTGCTGATGGATCGAATTGCTTATGGTCATTTAAATTTTATTAACAAAATATTGAATACAAAGTATCATACTTAACCATGAATGAGTCTCTCGGAGATATGTATTTAAGTAGCAACTATTTGAATTTGTTTCCTTGCATAGGATAATATTATTTGATGATAGTGACACAAGTTTTAGATTCTATTATTTTTGTCACTCTTTATCCGTTCCATAAATTTGAAATAAGAAAAACTAATTGTAAGTAGATGGGATTAGCTGAGTTGAGACAGCTTGTTAATCCTATAATTATAATTTTAGATTATTTTAGCTGCGACAGTTTGATAGTCTGAAACCTTTAGATCTAAAACTTTCAATTGATTTTGTTTAAAATTACTTTCAAAATAAAAAGCAATCAACACACAAATACTTTTTACAGAACGACGTAGCTTTGAGTTCCCTATTGTACCGAGGGATACGTCGGAGCGGAACCTTTCCCGTCAAGCATAAAAATAAATTTTCGAAGTTAATTCTTTTTCTTTAATCAATTTTGTTTAATTTCTTGGGGTGAAATAAATATTTAAAATTTTTATTAATAATTTGCACAATTAATATAAGGTAACCATTTTTTTTAAAATGGACGGTGTAGGGTGCTAACACCTTCTCTGCTCGTAATCGACTCCCGAATCCATTTTCTATTTCAAAGACCAGTTTTCTCAAACAAAAAGTTTTTTCCAATGTTTTCCTAAATAAACTTTGGTGGCAACTCCATTGATTTTAAACATTCAATCTTTCTATGTCACGTCGCGATCCGGTTGCAACAGCTGGCGACTCCACTGGGGACATTCAGAGAGTTAAGCCTGTTCTATTAATTGTGCAAATTATTTATAAAATTTTATTTATTTGTTTCACCCAATTTTTATTGCATTATTTTTATATATTTTGTGTAAGTATTTTTACTACACATTATTTTCTTGTATAGTTGTGTTTGTCATGTTTTTTTTTGTATATAACTCCAGTAATTGACACATATCCTGCTCGTTTTTAACCTTCCATAAGTGATTATTTTCTTGTACATATTTTGCTTTCCCTTTGTTTTGCAGCTTTGGGTTTTAGCTATTTTAGGATGTACAAGTTTGAATGCTCCTAGCACACACTGCACACTCACTAACCTCACATACATTTTTGGGCTCTATACCCGAGCTTTGGAGAGCCACAGGAATAGAAGGGACTTCGGTGATGTTATTGTGAGGCTCACGCTTCCCTGACAGTCATTGATTTTCCACCTAGATTGTTACCGGTTACATGACTTACCATATTGTGACTTCTTTGTCCTTATGGTTAAGCTCATGAAATTGGATCCTTATCTGTTAGATAGGGGCAATCTGGGGACCTTTTTTAGGTGTGTAGAACTATCCTTCAAAATATGCACTCATAGAATGAACTTAGTTACCACCTGAATTAGGGTTTTTGACATAGAACATCTCTGATCCGTAGGTTTCACCACGTAGGACAAATAGGAGCGTATTATTTTCTTTCTTTTCTTCATTAACCTTCAAGCATTTGTTTCTTCCTATGGCAACATGTATATATCATATCATTTCATGCACATCATGCATTATGCTTTTTTTCTTTTTCTTCATGGTAGACATAATACATTTCATGCATCTAATATGTTTCCATCATCCATACCATTCATTCTCATGCATATCCTTTACCATATTAGTTTGTCATAGCATATTATCATCCACATCGTGAATTTAATATGTTTCCATCATGTATGCACTTTGTTTCAATATGGGTTGCAAATAACATGTCATCATATTTAGGTCATTCATATATAAAAAAAAACCTCAATAAGAGTTTTTTGTTCACGAGTGTTTTTCCTTTTTTCTCTTTCCTTGTAAAGGGTAAAAATTATTGGTAGTCGGAAGAGCTAACGTTATATTTGGTAGAAAGAAATGGAATGGACGAAGCACACTGGCAATGCCTCCAACACCAAGAAGTCCTTTAGTGTGACGGTAAACATCAACTCGTTGGATAATGTGAAGCAACTGAGTCAATCTTTACCTCATGAAGATCGAAGACTCTTCACCAGGAAATATGGAGCAATTCTAGACTTGTTAGTCATACCAGTTGAGACCTCTGCTTTGTGTGTCTTGGCCCAGTATTGGAATTCGTCTTTGAGATCTTTTGAGCTACCAAACTTGGATATCACACCTACTATTGAAGAATTTGCTTGCATGATAGGGTTGCCAATGGAAAAAGAGAGCACTGTGTACTTTCCTCCGGAGCATTGTATTTCTGCAACAAAAGTGGCAAGACAATTTGGAGAGTTGTTGGGTTTGCAAAGTAGCCAAATCAAACTGGTAGGGCATGCAGATTCACAAGGGTTAACAAGAGCTTTCATGGAAAACTACTTAAAGGAACTAGAGCAGCGACGAGAGTGGGTTACCTTTTCAAGAGTGTTAGCACTCACGATTTATGGATTGGTATTGTTTTCGTCAGCTTTGGATATGGTGGATCAAGCAGCAATGAGAGTGTTCTTCACAGTTGAAACCAAGAAGATAAACCCAATGCTCGCTGTTTTGGCTGAAACATTCCTGACGTTGGATTTCTGTCAAAAGAAACAAAAAGGGGGTAAACTCCGATGTTGTGCCCAACTTCTATATGTGTGGATCATTACACACATGTATGCTGGAAACCATATTAATAGTTCATCAGACCCATTGCGAAGCTTTCATAGAATCCCAGTAAATCACCGCGATGAGAAAGAATGGAAGATTGAGTTTGATAGTGTAGAAGGGAAGACATTCAAGTGGATATGTCCTTGGTTCGAAACTAGACGAGGAGATATCATTTACAGTTGCGGAGAATTCCTTAATGTACCACTCATAGGCCTAAGAGGATGTATAACATACACACCTGCTGTAGTTCTTAAACAACTCGGCTGGACACAAAAACAGCCGCGGGAGGAGCAACTTGGAGGGTATTGTTTTTCTTATAAGGATGATGATGATACTAAGGCCTTATCAAGAGAAATAAAGAAGGCATGGGGTGATGTTCGAATGGCAGGAAGATTAGAGTTGGGGAAACGAGAAGCGAGAAGGACGTCTAACAATACCCTGAAAGCTCCTGCAAGAGGAAAGGATTCACCTCAGTCAACCCCCCAAATGGTCGAACAACTAGAGCTTATGAGAGCACAAATTCCCTTTTTGGTTGAACAAAAGAAGAAAGCAGAATTATAAGTAATTATTGCCCAAAGTAAGTGCGAGAAGATGGCTAAAGAATTTGAACGCTTGAAGGACGAATGCGCTGACATGGTGGAAGCTTTAAGAGTAAGAAAGGGCAAAAAGAAGATGTTAGAGACATGTTTAAGAAGGATTCGAGAGCTTGAAGAAGAAGTGCAATTTCGAGCAAAAGAGAACCTCGAACTAAAGCAGGAAAAATGTCAGCAGGACCAGGCAAAAGAGAAATTAAAGATGGAAGTCAATAGACAAAGACAAGAAAAAGAAGCTCTAGAAAGGGGGAAGGTTGTGCAAAACCAAAAGAAAAAAATATTAGAGCAAAGAATTGAAGAATTGACAGTTCTGCTAACACAATCAAAGATCGACTCTGACCAGGGATGGGCATCGTCCAATCAGTACCATGATTTGTTTGTTGAGGAAACTAATGAAGGAAGGTGGTGGAGGGCACAAACTTTGGATCGAGAAGCAGAGGTTGAAGAATGGGAGAAGAAATACAAGTGTGTACAGAGGCTACGAGGCATTGAGGTTTGCTCTCATCAGTATCAATCTTGTGTTCCTATATTCTGCAGGGAAAAACTTTCCATCGAAACAAGGCACCGCCACTGCAGGATACATAGTCCACTTGGTTGACGAAGGCCAGAGAACAAAAATGGAAAGTTGAGGCACATAAGACATGCCTAGGAATGGAAATTGGAGGAGACCTTTACTTGTTGGACTCTGATTGACCCAGGCATTCCTTTTGTCCAAGGGAACATGAAGGAGCATAGGATTCTTATCTCTTCTTTAAAAAGACCAGAAAGAAGCAAAAAAAGGGAGGAGACTTCTTTCATTATTTTTCTGATATAAAGAACAACAGACCTCTTGCAAAAAGAAGGAAAAAAAATAGAACGCTGAAACAAAAGCAAAAGAACGAGGTACTAGCTCTGTAAAAAAAAAGGAAAAAGAAAAAGCTTAAAAGATAAAAAAAAAGTCTCGGTCACCGGAAGCCACCGCGTTGCAACTGCCAGTAGCCGCTGCCATCACCGCAGGTCACCGACTATTACAAGCTGCACCGCGCATTTAGCATCATCACGCTACCGGACCACCGCGAGCAATCGCACCTTCAGCTCTCCATAGCACTGCATCGTTGAACGTTGAACCTTGAACGTGTAATGCAGTAGACCATTATCTCCACCGTGAGAACAATACCCATCACTCTAACACCCCTTTGCTTCACAATCGTAAGTCTCCTTGCATTTAGACACCAGAAACCCATTTCATTTTTATTATGTTTTAACTTTATTTGGTTATTATTGTAATTCACAGGTCCTCTTATGGTGTTTCTCTCAAACACTTAACCACACAAGCAATTCTCTGAATATACCTCTTTGTATTATTGATTCTGCCAAGTGCTACTTTACAAGAGTTACAATGTGCTTTTTATAAGCAACAACAAATGATTAAGAATAATAATGACTAACATAGGAAATCTAAACATATTAATTATCCATTAACATATGCCTAGGGACACACCATAAAACAAAACCCTTCATATTTCTATTTTCTTTTATTTAAATCAAAGATTAACCTAACAAAACTCCCCCTTAATCTTTAATATCTCTACCGTCCTTCATGCCCATCTTCTTCTTACAATTTTCTAACAACAACATCGGCAGAGGCTTTGTGAAAATATCTCCAATTTGATCTTGGCTTGCAACATGAGTGAGCTCCACCTTTCCTTCTTTTGCTTTATCCCAGATGAAATGGAATCTGACATCAATATGCTTACTTCTTTCATGATTGACCGGGTTCTTTGCTAACTCGATTGCTAATCTGTTGTCAACTCGAATCTCGGTTTGGCCGACTTGCTCTTGCTCCAGCTTGCTTAGTAAATTCCTCAGCCATATTGCATGGCAAACACACCAAGATGCCGCAACATACTCGGCTTCACATGTAGACAGGGTCACAATAGGTTCCTTCTTCGACACCTAAGTAAACGCCGTGTTTCCCATGAAGAACACATAGCCAGCCGTGCTATTTCTATCATCAACATCTCCGCACCAATCACTGTTTGAATAACCCGTCATTTTGTATTTGTCCGACTTCGAGTAATGAAGTCCTTGTGAGATTGTTCCCTTCACATATCTCAGAATTCTCTTAGCCGCCTTCCAGTGAGTGTACCTCGGGTCTTCCATAAACCGACTTATGATCCCAACACTCAGACACAGATCTGGCCTTGTACATGTTAAATATCTCAGACTTCCAACTAGACTCCGGTAAATACTCGGATCAACTCTCTCTCCTCCATCATACTTTGAGAGTTTCAAACCGGGTTCCATTGGCGTTAAAACCGGGTTGCAATCACTCATTTTGAACTTCTCTAAAATTCCTTTTGCATAGGCTTCCTGAGAGACGAAGATCCCGCATTCATCTTGTCTAACCTCCAAACCAAGAAAATATCTCATCAGACCGAGATCCGTCATCTCAAACTCCTTCGTCATTTTCTTTTTAAAATCTTGAATAATTCCTTCATCATTACCCAAGAAAATCAGATCATCAACATATAGAGAAACAAGTAGAATTTTACCTCCTTTCTTCTTTACATAGAGAGCATGTTCATACGGACACTGCTCAAATCCATCATTCTTAAAATAATTATCAATCCTCGTGTTCCAGGCTCTTGGGGCCTGCTTCAAACCATATAAGGCTTTCTTTAATCTCAACACTTCTCTTTCTTCTCCGACTTTCATAAAACCCGGAGGTTGTTCGAGATACACCTCCTCCTCGAGTACTCCATTTAAGAATGCCGACTTTACGTCCATCTGATAGATCGGCCATCCGAATTGGGCTGCTTGAGAGTTCAACAGCCTGATTGTCTCCATTCTTGCTACGGGTGCGAACACCTCGTCATAGTCAATGTCGGCCTTCTGCCTATACCCTTTCGCCACTAGCCGGGCTTTGTATCTTTCGATCTCCCCCTTAGCGTTCATTTTCTTCTTGTACACCCATTTCACACCAATGGGCCGACTTCCTTTGGGCAGCTCGGCTAACTCCCACGTTTTGTTCTTTTCTATTGCTTTAATCTCCTCCTCCATGGCTGATTGCCATTTCTCATCTCGGATTTGCTTCTTCAAAACTCACTTCTTCAGAATCTGCCAACAAACATACCAAGTGTTCTTCGTTAGTTGAATCATACAAGTCTTGCAAGCTCCTCATTCTCGGTTGTCTCTGCTCTTCATCAGCAGAGATTTCATGATTAGCTGGGATATGGGACGAAGGTTGTCCGACCTCAATTGTCATTTTCCCGGGTTCAACATTCACCCCGGATGGACAACCCCAGTCCCAAGCATCTTCTTCATGCACCTTCACATCTCGGCTTATCAACATCTTTTTATTGACGGGATCTAACAACTTGTACCCCTTTATCTTCTCATCATAACCAATGAATACAAACTTCTTACTCTTATCTTCAAGTTTCGTTCTCAATTGATCCGGTATGTGTGCATATACAACACTACCAAAAATCTTGAAATGAGCCACTGATGGCTTTAGACCGCTCCATGCTTCTTGTGGAGTTTTATCATTCACACTTGAGTGCGGACATCGGTTCTGCACATATACTGCACATTGCACGGCCTCTCCCCAAAATTCTTTCGGCATGTTCTTCGTCTTTAACATAGATCGGACCATATCCAGGATAGTCCGGTTCTTCTTCTCAGCTACTCCATTTTGCTGGGGCGAGTACGGTGCGGTCAGGAACCGCCTTATCCCATGTTCTTCACAATACTTCTTGAAAGCTGTTGACACATACTCCCCACCTCGGTCTGAACGTACCGATTTGATGTACCTCCCAGTACCATTCTCTATCATTACTTTAAAACTCCTAAATGCCTCTAGCACCTCGGATTTTTCTTTTAAAAAATACACCCAAGTCTTTCGATTGAAATCATCAATAAAGGTTACAAAATACTTCTTACCACTGAAGGATCCCAGAGTAATGGGTCCACACAGGTCGGTATGTATCAAATCCAGAGGCTGCCTAGCTCGGTATCTCGCCATCCTTTGGAACGGGCTTCTCGCATATTTTCCCAATACGCAGTCCTCACAAAAATTTCCTTCAGAGTTTATCTTTGACAGTCCTACCACCATGTTCTTCTTCATCATCTCGGTCAGACCACCATAATGAAGGTATCCAAAACGTCTATGCCACAAATCCATCCTATCTTCTACCCCGGCTTGTAGACAGCCGACCTCCAAGTTCCTCACTTTCAATTTGTACATCCTATTCTTCTCCATCTGAAATCGGGCCATCAACCGCCCTTGCTTATCTTTCAACAGTAGAACTCGGTCTGTCATTAGAACCGAGTAGCCCTTTTCCATCAACTGTCCAATGCTCAGAATATTGCTTTTGAGCTCAGGCACGTAATACACGTCCTGAATTGTACCAACTCGTCCGTCTTTTTGTAGAAAACAGACCGTACCACGACCTTTTACATCAATTTTGGACGCGTCTCTGAAAGAGACATGTCCGGCTTCCACCGTCCTCAATTCTTTGAACAAATGTTTGTAACCACACATGTGATTACTGGCACCGGTTTCCAAATACCACTCTGTCTCACTCTTCGAACTCGTCTCACCTTGTGCCAACATCAGAACTCCTTCATCTCTTATCTCTCCTTCTGTAGCAAAATTTGACGTCCCGTCAACTCTCCTTTCATCTCGGCAATCCTTCGCGAAATGTCCAACTCGGCCATATTTGTAGCATCTGTCCGAGTTGCAGTCCTTTGGAAAATGGCCATACTTGCCACACTTATAACATTCTACATTACTTTGATTTGACCACCGGCCTCTTCCACCTCGGCCTCTTCCTCTCCAGTTTTGCTGACTTGGCTGAACTCTTTCTTCATTTTTCACCTCATGACCTCGGCCACGACCACCTCGGCCATTTCCACGTCCAGCTTGTCCACGACCTCTACCTCGGACGTTCTGAGTGTAGAGTGCCTTCTCATGCTTAATGGTTG